TTGTTAGGTGCCATGGAGTCAGTTCCTACCCATAGAAACCTTGTGTACAACACAATGAAATACTGTCTGGTCCTGTACCATTCTCACAATCACTGATACACTTGAGTCCATCGTTGCAGCCACTGTGTCAATCCATCTTGTTGAGGGTCTTCCCCTTTTTTACTAACCCTCTTCTTTTCCATTGATCCTCTCCTTTGCCCAGCAAGATATACTTCTTCAGGGACTTGTCCCTTAAGACAACATGACCAACGTATGAGAGACAAAGTCTAACCACTCTTGCTTCTAAAGTACGTTCTGACAGTGCTTTCTCCAAGACAGATTTGTTTGTTCTTCTAGCAGTTCATGGTAGATTCAATATTCTTCACCAACACCACAATTCAAATGTGTCAATGATTTTGCAGTCTTCCTTACTCATTGTCCATTCCTCATATAGATATGAGGCTATTGAAAAGAACATGATCAGATGCACCTTAGTCTTCAAGGTGACATCTTTGTTCTTAAATACTTTAATAAAGTCTTTTGCAGCAGAATTGCTGGAGGCAATATGTCATTTGATTTCTTGACTACTGTTTCCATGAGCACTGATTGTGGATCCAAGCAAAATGAAATCTTTGACAACTCCAAACTTTTCTCCATTTGTTATGATGTTGCTTATTGTTCCAGCTGTGAGGATTTTTGTTGTCTTTATGTTGAGGCGTAAAATACACTGAAGGCTGTAGTCTTTAATCTTTATCAGTAAGAGCTTCAAGTTTTCTTTAATTTCAGCAAGAAAGTTTGTGTCATCTGTATATTGCAGGTGGTTAATGAGTCTTCCTCCAACCCTAATGCTGTGTTCTTCTTCATATAATTTGGCTTCTCCAATTATTTGCTTGGCATACACACTGAATTAATATGGTGAACATATACAACCCTGGGGCACACTTTTCCTGATTTTAAACCATGCAATATGCACTTATTGTATTTGAACACCTGCCTCTTGGTCTATATACAGGTTCCTCAGGTTCATAATTAAATTTTTTAGAATTGTCATTCTTCACAGTATTATCCATAATTTGTTATGATCCACAGAGTCAAATCCATTTGCATAGTCAATAAAACACAGGTAAACATCTTTCTGTAATTCTTTGCTTTCAGCCAAAATTCATCCAATATCAGCAATGATTTTCATCATTCCACACTCTCTTCTGAATCGGTCTTGAATTTCTGGAAGTTCCACTTCTATTTCTTGCTGCAAACATTTTGAATTATCTTCAGCAGAATTTGTGTGTTATATTAATGATACTGTTCAATAATTTCTGCCTTCTTTGGACCACCTTTCTTTGGAATGGACACAAATATAGGGCTCTTCCAGTTGGTTGGTCAGGTATCTGTCTTCCAAATTTCTTAGCATAAATAAGCGAGCATATCTAATGCTGTATTAGATGCTGTATGTTAACATATCTCAGCGGGTATTCTTTCAATTCCCAGAGGCTTGTTGTTCAACAATTCCTCCAGTGCAGTTTTCACCCTCATCCTTCAAAATCATAGGTTCTTGATCAGATGCTATCTACTGAAATGGTTGAGCATCAACTAATTCTTATTGTTACCTTGAGTCTGTATATTCCTTTCATCTTCTTTTGATGTTTCCAACATCACTCAATATTTAGCCATTAGAAAAATCCTTCATTCAAAGAAGATACAAGTTAGCTCAATTGTTGCCTGGATATCTATAGATGGAGGTGTTAATCTTTATTTAGATATGGATAGATAAAGATATAAATATTCAATTTAATAACAGTAAGATTTTAAGTGCTTGGAAAAAGTCTCATTAACATCCTGTGGTTCATAGACAATGAAACTTTCCTTGATGAAAATGAGGATGACTTGAATCACTTGCTGATGAAGATTAAAAACTACAGTCTGCAGAATGGATTACACCTGAATATAAAGAAAACAAAAATCCTCACAAGTGGACCAATAAGCAGCATCATGATAAATGGAGAAAAGATTGAAGTTGTCAAAGATTTCATATTACTTGGTTCCACAATCAACACCAGTGGAAGCAGCAGTCAAGACATCAGACAATGTATTTCACTGGACAAACCTGCTGCAAAAGACCTCTGTAAAGTGCTGAAAAGCAAAGATGTCTCCTTGAAGACTAAGGTACACCTAACCCAAAGCATGCTATTATCAATGTCCTCATATGCATGTTAGAGCTGACAATGAATAAGGAAGACTGAAGAAGAATTGATGCTTTTGAGTTGTGGTGTTGGCAAAGAATACTGAAAGTACCATGGACTGCAAAAATAATTAACAAATCTATCCTGGAAGAAGTGGAGCCAGAATGCTCCTTAGAAGTGAGAATGGCAAGACTTTGTCTTACCTACTTCAGTCTAGTCAGAAGGGACCATTCCCTGAAGAAGGATGTCATGAGTGGTAAAATAGAAAGTCAATGAATAAGGGAAAGGCCTTCAACAAGATGGATTGACACAGTGGCTAAAACGATGGGCTTAGGTATAGCAAGAATTGTGAGGCTGGCACAGGACTGGGCACTATGCCACCGGATGGTATACTTTTATCTCCATATGAAGATGAAGATAATCTCTGGGGTATTTATTAGACAGTTTCTTAGAACAAGATTGTGTTTCAGTAGACTCATCTTTACCTCTAGCTGAAAATGTGCACGTGGGCCTTATTGGTGAGAAAGATGGCCTAAAAACATTTCTAACAGAATATAATATGACATTGGTGCTCATATAGTCTCTAGCCTAAAGTTGGTCACCTATTGAGAAAATAACAAAATTATATCCCTATCTCACTATGGTAGTTAAGGTTGTATATTAACTTGGCTGGACCCTGACTTTGAATAGCTTGAGAGCTGGATGCAATTATTGCCCATGATGAGACTGGATGTAGTCTAATTAACTCCATGGTGGAATCGTCTGTGAGCAGCTCATTACTTGCCTCTGAGAGTGTGGCTGCTTCCAGTACATATGTGGAAGCTTTGAGGAAGGTGCTAGCTTTGTCCTGCATTTGGATCTTGCATTTGGCCATCTTCCTCTCCGGTTCTGGACTTGAGCCAGTGGCCCGTCATGTTGTTTACCAATCTTGAAATTGTGCCTTTTTACCTGTCAATACTGGCTCCGTTAGCCTCAGCATACAGTGTCTGTCTGAGTTAGGTGACACCTCTGGCTCCAGAGGGCCTGGAATAAGAGGCAGAGTTGAAGCTCATAGAGCAAGCACTCTGAATTTGGACTTCTAGCCTCCTGAACAGTAAGGGAATAAATTCTTGTTTGTTAATCCATCCAGTTGTGGTATGTGTGTCATAGCAGCACTAGAGAACTAAAACATTCACGTAGATAAGAATGAATTCTAGATGGATAAAGGATGTCAACGTAAAAAGCAAAATCACAGAAATATTAAATATAGGAGAACATTGATATAACTTTGAGGTATGTAGGGAAGGCCTGTGTAAAAAGAATATATTACTAAGAATACATGTTAGACTACATAAATTTTTGTGTAGAATCACATCATAGAAAAGAAACATTATAAAATAAGAGTATTCAACAGATAAGACACATCAAGTTTTTATATCCATAATATACCATATAAATGTTTCCTGGTAGTAAATAAGTAGATGATACGCTCAATGGAAACTGAACAAAAGTCATGAATGAGAAATTTGGGGATGAAAAGGAAAATTATTAAAATTATATTCTATTTTTATATTAACAGAGAATATGAAAATTTAAAAATTGGAAATATTTATACATTAATAATTTACTACATGCCAACTAGCATAGTAATCTCTTTTATACATTACTGCATTTAAGTTTTACAATATTTGTTGAGTTAGGACTGAATTTTTTATGGGTGAAGAAACTGTTGCTCTGAAAGATTCAATAAATTTTTCAACTTTTCAAAGAAATTGGGCAGAACAATATCACAACTTATTTAATGGTAAAGACACTATAGCCTGGGTTTTAAGGTTAAACATGCCATTTCTCTTCAGCTGGTCATTCCAACATAGTAGATCATGTAATTTCCAATTCCAAATGACCAATACCAATCAATTTCAGCTCAGTGCTGCCTAGAATATTAATCTTTATATCTTCCATTTAATTTTTTACTACTTCCAATTTTCCTATATTCATACTTCATACATTCCACCTTCAGATTAATAATGGTTACCAGCAGCTTTTCTTCTCATTTTGAGTCATGTCACATCAAGATACGAAGGTCCTGAAAGCTTTACTCTTTTTGATGTTTAGGTGTTGGAGCTTTCTATACATTTTAGGGATAAGTTATTTGTCTAATACATCATTGTCTAATATTTTTTTCCTATTCTGTAGGTTCTCTTTTTACTCTTTTGGAGAAGTCGTTTGATGCACATATACATTTAATTTTTCAAAGGTCCCAATCATCTACTATATCTTCTGCTGTTTGTGCATCTTGGGTTATGCTTGATAGTCTATGCTGTAAATTAGGGCTCCTAAGTTTGCCCTTATTTTTTCTTTGATGAACTTTATAGCTTTAAGTTTCACACTTAAATCTTTGATCCATCAAAAAGACAAACACTCCAGAAGCTGTGAACAGGTGCTTCACCAAAGAAAATACTCAGACAGCCAGCAAACACATGAGGAAATGTTCATGATCTTTAGCCTTCAGAGAGATGCAAATCAACACAACCATAAGATATCATCTCACCCCAGTATAAGTAGCAAAATTCTACAAGACAGAAAATAACAAATGCTCGCAAGGATGTGGAAAGACTAGGACTCTTATACACTGCTGGTGGTATGGTAAAATGATACAATGCTTGTGGAAATCAATATTGTGATTCCTTAAAAAGTTGGAAATAGAATTAACACTAGATTGAGCAATTCCATTACTAGATAGATATATATCCTAAAGAAGTGAGAGGCAGGGCACAAATAGATATATGTGCATCCATGTTCATTGCAACACTATTACAATAGCAAAGAGATGGAAGCAACTTAGCACCCACACACAGAGGAATGGACTAAGAAACTATGGCACAATGGAATTCTAAGCAACCCTAAAGAACAATGTAGAATCTGCAAAACACTGCATAACATGGATGAACTTGGAGTGAAATTATGCTGAGTGAAATAAGTCAACCATGCTGTTGTTGTTGTTATGTGCCGTCGAGTTGGACCTGACTCATAACAACCCTTCTTTGGGTTGTGGAGGCAGTATCATTAAGGATGTAGATTGCCCAAACTTCCTTCCAAGGAGTGGCCGGTGGGTTTGAACTGCCAGCCTTCTGGTTAGCAGTCAAATGCCTTAGGCACTATGCTACCAGAGTGGCTGCAATGATGGCCTCAGGCAT